TATGCGAGTGGCCCCTGGGTTTAATTCCCAGCACCACATATAAATAAATAAAATAAAGGGCCATCAACAACTAAAAAAAAAAAAAAGTTTAAAAAAAAATCGTGTGTGTGTGTGTGTTGGAAAGTGTGTGGTTTGTTGTGTGAAGTTTGGGGAAGCCAGAAGAACAGGGCCTAGGAAGAATCCAGTGTTTTTAACTCAAGCAACTGGTAGTTAGTGATGCAGTTACCCAAGATTTGAAAAACAAGAAGTGGAAGAGCCGGTTTGGGGAGGAAGATAATGAATTTTAATTTTAGAACTGTTGGATTTAAATCATGGTTGGATTCATGGCAGTTAATGCTTTTTCTCAAACATGTAGTGAAAATGGTTAGAGGGCAGTTGCAACTGGGGAACAACAGCAAAATGAAAGTAGGAGAGAAAGAAGAGGAGCAGCCTATGGGGAACAGAGAAGTGGCCACAGAGATGTGGTGGGGGAGCAAGAGAAACTGGGGTAGTGGGTGACTTAGAAGACTCTTTCCCAAAAATAGAGATCCTTGGCAGTGCCTGCTGTGAAGCCTGAGGTGACCTGGGATGAAGACTGAAGTGGGCTTTGGCTGGAGGATAAGCTTGGAAGGCACTGTGTAAATTGGTAGGGGTGGAAACACCACCTGCCTCTTTGGAAGGAGAATGGTGTGGAGGATGGAGGAAAAGACTTAGATGTCTCTTTGAGAGAAATTAGCCCTGGGCCATAATTTGAAGGTTGTTTACCTCAGCTTTCTGTCATTGTGACAAATAACCTGAGATAACTGAAAAGGAGGAAAGGTTTATTTTGGCTCATGTTTTCAGTGGTTTAGTCTATGGTTATTGGCCATGTAACTTTGGGTCTGTGGTAAGACAGAATATCATGTTCGGTAGGGGTGTGTGGTGGACCCAAGTTGCTTACTTTGTAGCAGTGTGAAAGCCAAGAAAGAGAGAGGAGGGGCTGGGTCCCTATTGTCCCTCAAGGGGATGCTCCCAATAACCTAACTTCCTGTAGCTAGCCCCACCTCCTAAAAGCTCTGCTACCTCCCAATAACACCACAGGCTAATGTCCAAATATTTAACTCATGAGCCTTTGGGGGAACATTCCAGTTCCAAACTGTAGCCGAGTTGTATCCCACTAAATCCCTGAAAGACACTAAAGAACCACGTGGACACCAATCCAAAGATTGTGTTTCCTCTGTCATTCCTGACTTTACAATCCAAATCTATTTTTAGTGTTCATTTTCTCAAATAAATAGGCTTCCTTTAAGTCAACAAATTTGTCTAATTGAAAAAGTCAGAATAGTTTTGTACTTGATAAAACGTAAGATTGACTCTGTTCTTTATTAATTCCCTTCTGTGGTGACATGAGAATCTTAACTCAGCAGATCTAGGAAAAATAAATGTTACTCTTATGTTGCAGATCATTTTGTTTTTCTTTAAAAATTTAGAATCTTCTGTTTCATCAGGCTAACGGTGGCCTAATCTTAGCTTTCATTATATCTCTGTGTTTAAACTGTATTTAATTTGAGGGAATTTGATTTTATTTTAGATGCTGCGATGTTGGTAGAGAACATCTCAGCATCTCTTTTCTGGCATGGAGAGCTGAAACCACTTGATAATTCTTCATCAGTCACAAGAATCTAGGTTTCCCCAGTAATTTATAATCTTGTTCCATCCATTGAAAAGATAATTCCCCCATTATCAACTTGTGACACTCAGCTCCTTTGTAAGATGCTTACCTGCCATATATTTTGTAGAGAAAAATAAGGAAGTAGAAATCCTACCTGAAATCATTGTTTAGTGGCTGGGGTTGTGGCTCAGCAGTAGAGCACTCACCTAGTGCATGTGGGGCCCTGGGTTCGATCCTCAGCACCACATATAAAAAATAAATAAATAAATAGAATGAAGGTATTGTGTCCATCTACAACTAAAAAATATTTTTAAAAAATCATTGTTGGATCATTTTATGTTTAATATAACCATAGATATGTTCACATGCAAGGCATTTCAGAGATAATCTACTGAAAGAAAGCATGTGCAGAGGTGCTTCAGGGAGTGTCACAAGGGAGAGGCTATATAAGCAGGACTCTACAAGCCTTGTCCTGAGCTGTAGTTATAATACTTTCTGTATATTGTTTTGGGGAGGAAGCAGCCTGAATAAGATTTTCATTTGAAAGTAGGGTTTTGAAAGTAAAAAATACTTGAAAACGATTGTCATAGTGACAGAGAGAGGCTCTACCAAGCTCAGTGACATACCTGAGATCACCTGGTTATTGACAGGAATGCACCTGTTATTGCCCACATGGCAAGGGTCAGTACAACAGTCTGCCAGACTGTAACTACAGTCTCCCTTGTTAACAGTTTGAGAGAGGTGGTTTTAACATGTTCAGAGACTTATTCATTTCCATAAGAACAGCCTTTAGTGGGGTGGTTCTTCTGATCTAATGTAATTGTGAATCTCTTCCCTTTGTGGCTCAGGCTCATTCTCCTTTAGCCTATATTTGGTAGAAAAGGCTAATGTTCACTTGCTGTCTCCCAGAGTATGTAGTTGGAGACTATTTAGTAAAACTCTATCCTGTTTTTTATTCTTCATGCTGAAAAACCTCAATTAGTGTTTTGAATATCTAGCCCATTGTTTATCTCTGTGTTCTTATATAGCAATAAATTCTACATTTTAATTGGCTCTAAGTCAGATTTTTTTTTTGTGTATAAGCGTGATCACTTATTTTCATCACCACATGTGAAGATGACCACTTTTTTCATTTAGTCACTCTAAAATTTAAGTGTACTATGCTTTTTGTTTAGAATTAACCAGTTATTTTTTTCTATTCTTAGTAAAGGTTTTTTTTTTTTATATTCAGATTGGTATTCATGAGACTTATTATTAATGAATGTTATGACTACATCTGGACAACCCTATTTAAACTGCCTTTTGCAAAGGGCTTTCTGTTGAAAACTTTTCTATATTATTAGCAGCATGTTTTTTCTTGCTAAAAAAAAAATCCTGTACTCATTCTTGAATTGTTAGTAATTATTTCTTGAGAACAACAATTGTGCCTAAGTCATCTGTATTTTCCAAAGTTCTAAGTACTTTGTCTTGTACAGAATAAAGGCACAAGTGTAGAAAAAATAAATAATTTTATAACACATTTATGTGTCCATCTGGCATAGCAAGTCATTGATTCTTTATTCAGTGCCTTCCTTGTTTTTCTTTTTTACTTCTCCTTGTTTTTTTTTTTTTTTTTGGTCCTGGTAAGGGGTATTCAACCCAAGGATGCTGTACTGCTGAGCTATATCCCCAGCACTTTTTCATTTTGAGACAAGATCTTGCTAAGTTGCTGAGGCAGGCCTTGAACTTTTGATCCTCTTGCCTCAGCCTCCCAGGTTGCTGGGATTACAGGTGTGCACCATATGCCTGGCCCTTGCCTTTCTTTTAATTCTTAGATTCTCTTCCAAGTTTCTTCCAGAATGTGGTCACTTGAATTTTAAACTTGTTTTATGGGTGGAGAAACTTAGGCAAAAATTTTTATTACTTGCCCATGGGCCCTAGGTTTGGATTTAACTGCCAAATTAAAATGAAGAATGAGTAGGTTATCTTCTTGAGTCAAATAGCTTTAGGAAGAACTTTTTAAAATAAGTTTATTATAAAATACAGAACTAAAGGACTACTCTGGTAAGCTCATTATATTAAAATCTATGTCTTTTTTACAGAGTAAAATATGTAAATCATAAAAGGTGAAGTTTTCGCAATTTACTGAGTTTACTATAAAACTGAAATCTGGTTTAGAAAATGATTTAAGAAAGTCCTGGGAAATGTAAGAATTTAGGATGTGTTTTTGGGTGGTGAACATGAAATTACAGAAGTGGAAATAGAATTCTGCCTTTTGCTGAACGGGCTATCATTCTTGGACATTTATAGGCTGATGTTATTTCTGTGAAGTCATGATCTGTTGCTCAGGATGTCTCATAGTGATCCTCTTGGCATCTTAGAGATTCTCTTGGATGATAGCATTGTGCATTTTGCAGCATGTGTAGCAGCTATGCTTTATCATCATGTCCTTGTGTGGCAGTTGAACAAACAAAAATGCCTTGTCAAATTTGAGATCCCAGCAAGGGGGATGGTAGTAGTCCTTGATGGGACACCACTGGTAGATGAATTATGTGTCTATAAACCACTTGAAATTATTCAGCTAAATATGGTCAATATTGGAGGTAGGTTTTGTTTTATTTATAAATATGTTATTATTTTAAACATAAATTTAGCTAGGTGTGATGGTTCATGTCTGTAATGCCAGTTAACTCTGGAGGCTCAGGCAGTAGGATCAAAAGTTCAAGGCCAGCCTCAGCAACTTAGAGAGAGCCTGTCTCAAAATAAAATAGGGATGTGTGGTAAAGTGATCCTGGGTTCAATCCCTAGTGCCTAAATAACTAAATAAATAATGCAGATCACTATGCTTCATTCCGGGACAGCAAATAAGTGGTTTGTAAATTAGATTTTAGGCAAAACCCTATGATTTATCAATGACTAAGTGAATTATAGTATTATACAAAGAAAAATATTTATTCTTTTTTTTAAAAGAGAGAGTGAGAGAGAGGGAAGGAGAGAGAGAGAGAGAGAATTTTTAATATATATTTTTTTTAGTTTTTCAGCGGACACAACATCTTTGTTTGTATGTGGTGCTGAGGATCGAACCCGGGCCGCACACATGCCAGGCGAGCGCGCTACCGCTTGAGCTACATCCCCAGCCCAATATTTATTCTTGATAGATTTTTCCCTTATTTTAGCAGAAAAAGTAATAAACTTGGTGATACTTATATAAATAAGTATTTTATTATATTTATACTTTTATGAAGGCCAAGGAAGAAAGGATGAAGCTTTCGGTTTATGATGAAATAATTCAAGTGTGCTTTGTGTGCAGCTTCCCGTCTTGCCTGGATAGACTTTCCTCTGTGTGGGTGCCAGTGACACCTGATACCAGCGTTTCATGTTTTGTTTTCAGGATCAGTTCAGTGATATGAGAATCAGCATAAACCAGATGCCTGGGAACAGCCTTGACTTTGGGTTTACAATAAAATGGGATTTTTCCAGGATCTTTGTGGCATCAGTTGAGGAAGGTAAATCATAGATTTTACTCTACTGAACTGTCTTCTCCTTTGTTATCCTATCTTGGGGGGTGGGGGTGGGTGAGAATTGCAGAAATTGATTTGTTTGTTATAAGAGAAAAAAAATATATTTACTAATTCATTTTACTAATGTGAAAATTCATTAGTAAATAAAGATGTATCCTCTTCCCTGAGACTGTTAGCTGGGGTTGCAGATTCATACATTGTTTATTCCTATTGCCTAATTAATTTTAGTTTTGAAGAAGACTTTTTACAGAATTTTTCAATTTTAAGCTTATTTTTTTGAAATGCTAACAAATAGAATTTATTTGCAGATTTTGATTGAAATTTTTATCAGTAGCCATTGTGTTTGTTATTTAGTGGTTTTGGGGATTGAACCCAGGAATTGGCACCTGCTTGGCAGGCACTCCACTACAGACCTACTTTCCCAGCTGAATGTGGTGTTTTTTGCGCATACTAATATATCTATTGTTTATGGAGGCAAAAGGTCTTGAGATATTTGTAAAGGGATTACCTCCTCCACCCAGGATCATAACAAGTTAAACCCAGAAACTTTGCCAATTATTATTACAAGGCCTAAAATTAAAATGAGAGCTATTATATTTAAGAGGAAACCCTTGTTTATATACTTTAGCTACATAAAATTGCATGTCAACATTGATTTTTCTTTTGATTGCTTCAATTAGGTAGTGGTATTTTAGTTATGGTATTAATGTTATATAATATTAAGTGTCCTTATTTCTTTCTGCTCCCTTCCAGAGAGTATCAGATGTGCAAACTCAAAGTATAGTACATGTCACATTTAAAAATTTTTTAAAATAGTTGTACACAATACTTTTATTTTATTTTTTTTATGTGGTGCTGAGGATCCAACCCAGGGCCTCGAACATGCTAGGCAAGCACTCTACCACTGAGCCACAATCCCAGCCCATGTATCACATTTTTAACCTGAAAATAATTAAGACTTTCTTTGTCCTTAGGAGGTTAATAAATTTTATTGGATAGTGAACTTATCATTTCTCCTTTCAATATCAATGAAGATGCATACTACTAGAATTAAAAAAATGCCTTTGGTGCCTTGTTTGTTGCAAATACTCACCCCAAATATTTGATAGCTTAAAAAAAATCTAGTGACTCTTCTGCATCTGAAAACATTGAGAAGTTGTTAGTTGAGATTAAGATGTTATTTTTCCTTAATTTAAAGAAACAGTGACTAATAGACCATAAAGGATTTTAAGACAATTGATTGTTTAATTTACTTTATGTTAATTTTAGGTAGCCCAGCAGAATTTTCTCAGCTACACGTAGATGATGAGATTATTGCTGTTAACAACATCAAGTTTACATATAAGGATACAAAAGAGTGGGAGGAAACCATGGCTCGTGCTCGAGAAACTGGAAACCTAGTGATGGATGTCAGGCGCCATGGGAAGTCTGGTGAGTGAGTTTTACTGTGTCTGGCTTTCTAAGTTGGGAAACTGGTCTTTGGCAAGTGGTTGTAACAATTTGCTTTAATAATTTTGTGTTTTTTCATTTTACTTTGTTGCTTAAAAGCTTCTTGTTTTTATGTTGGAACAAATCTTGTATAATACCTCTTTCAGTATGCTGTCTGAAAACTCTTCATTAGCAAACTTACTGAATTCTACATTATATGACTAGTTTATATCCTGATTGGACTGAATGCAAACATCAATTCAATGCAAATGTAATTGCATTTGGAGTCATTTGTAAGGATGTTGAATATTAAGAAATACTGTGCTTTAACTTTCTCTGCAGTAGCGTAACTGCACTGGTATAAAAGCATGATTGGTCATATTCCTATTATTGTTCTCAAAGAACTTTCAGTATACATTTTCTATCATTGTATTTCTGAGTTCCCAGTTGAGGTTGGATGTGAAAGGGCATACCTACCATCTTATTACATAAAAATATAATATTTAGTCTTGGTTTATAGAAAGATTCAGTAAATTTGCTAGTCTTTTCATGACTAACATGATTTAACCTTTGTGTTTGGGAAGGTGATTCTTCTGCACACTACCTGATATGTCTGTCTGTCTGTCTTATATATGTGTGTTTTGTATATGTGCATTTCAGTAACTTTATTCTTTCCACATCATCATTTATGTGTACTCATTTCTTGATCTTCATGTGCCAATCAGATTGGGGCAAAGACCAGCCTTCCCTGCCATTTATACGGCATAAAACCCTCAATCTCACCAGTATGGCTACCAAAATTATAGGTTCACCTGAAACAAAGTGGATTGATACAACTTCTGGAATTTACAATTCAGACAAGTCTTCAGATTTATCAGTAACAACTGATTTCTCCGAAAGCCTTCAGAGCCCTACTGTAAGTATTTTGAGAACTAGGAGTATACTACAGAGACAAAGCCATGATATAGATTATATCTGCAGAAGAAAATTTATTTTTTAAGCAATTTAAATACCACATTTAAAACATAAGTAATTGAATAAGGTAATGTATAGTAAAGAGAATACAATGTATTTTTGAAAGTCATAAGGCCTTACCCATTAATGGGGTATTATTAGTGACTTATGTAATGGTAAATCAAAAGATCCCATAATGTTGTTTTGCAGGTATTTCTTACCGATCTTTCATCATTACAACAATCTCTCAGATCTCATGAATGTGAAGTAGCAATTATGTAAAATTATACACTAAAACTTTTCTATATGCTCTTTAGTCTTCACTGGCAAAGGGAATGTAGTCATTGTGTGCAATATAAAACCTCATCAAGCATTTTTAGTTCTTGTGTGGGTGTATTTGATAGGTAGACTTATGTGTGTGATTAAGATATAATCAGTTCCATTAATTGATTCTAAAATTATGCAGAATTTTTTTAGGTGTCAAATAATACTTTTTTATATAGGCTTTGAAAACAGTGTGTCTATTTAGAGTATGAATTGTTCATTTAAATTAATAATTTAAATTTGTAACTAAAACTTTTACTTAATAGAGATCTTGCTACATTCTGAAGCAACAATTTAAATGTTAGAGATTCCTATATGATCACTTTACTTAGTCATTAAGTTAAGCCAAATGGATTAAAGACTATTTTGTCCACCATATTTCTTAGAATGTTAATGTCTGATTAAACTTAAGGTCATCCTTGCCTGAAGCTAGTCATTAATCTTTCCACAAATAATGAAGAATAAGTCTCTACTACATGTAAAAAGCTTTTGAGGATCAATAGCCTTAAAACCAATCTTGTTAAAAGTTACTCTCTCTGATGAGAAATGAATTATTTAAGCTCAAAGTCCAATAGAAGAGAATATTAATTAGCATGTTTGTCCTTTCTAGTACACTGAATCCAAAGAAATCAATGGAATTCATGATGAAAGCAACACTATTGAATCAAAAGGTAAACATCACATTATCATTTACATCTGTAATGTAGAAAAAGTCATAGCTCCCAAGTTCTGCTATTCTAAAATTAATTTCATTGAGAGAAAAACTGATCCACTGCAAGTTGAAACTAAAAGGTTAGCACACAGATCCAATTGCAAACAGGTGGAAGGGCGTTTGATTCCAGCGTTAAATAGTTCAGGAACTGCAAACAAAACTTTGGCAGCATGTTCTGGGTGCCTGTGTGCCTAAGCCAAGTAAGAACAGGTTTTCCTGAGACCAGCAGCTTTCTGGCTGTGGCATGCTGGCAAAGGAAATCTTCATTAAATAAAAAACAATGAATGAAGTTTCCTTTTTCCCTTTATTGTTGTGAAAGAGACAAACTTGGACACAGCTAATCTTAATAGAGAACTGCCAATTGTAGTAACAGTTGTTAGTGGTCACACTCCTTATTTTAAAAAAAAGGCACAATATCTAGGGAAATTTGGAGTTATCATTCTCTTTCTTTTTCTGCTCAGACACAAATAATTTAGCTATTGTACACCATGTACCATTCTTCAGGCATACAAAATACACAACAAAGATCTCTCTGATCAACATGACGGGGAAGGATACCCAAAGAAGATGAAGCTTCATTTACCATAAAATCAGGCTGCCAAGAATGGGATGGATTTGTATAGTGTTTGTTAACTTTCCCACTTTATTGTACACTATATCAAATCCAACCTAAATTTATAAATTTCCTTTCCCTCATTGATTATTTCTCTTTATATTTCATTTCCAATAGAAATGACTATATTTTATTTTTTTTTAAATTTATTTTTTAATCAAAGGAAGTTTTAAAACAAGCATTTCTTATTTTTCTTCCTGATACCAAATCTCTAAAGCATCTTGGTCCTCTTCTGCCAGTGGCCCAGGCAGAGCCAACTGATAAAGACATCTAATGCTTTAGTGACAGTAGGACTATACGCAGGCCCTGCCATTTGAAGATTTTGTTTAGAAAAATAAACAGCAACTAGTATGAAGTAATAATCACATTTATATTTTATGCCATACTCTTGTCACAGATATGTGGGAGAAGTCACTGTTTTCTAATTTTTTTGATTAAAGTTCATTTTGTCTAAGTTAGCAGCTACAAGATCTTGAAAACTAGAGCAAAATATTTTAGATTGAAAAAAATCATAATTTCAGCATTTGTTTTCATTTGATCTTCCTGTAGCTATTATTTATTTTGTTGTCCTCCTCCTCCCCAATAATTTTCAGTTCTTATTCATCAGTGTTATGAAAATTCTTTGGCAGAAAAAATGTTAGATTGATTAACTTAAGCAAAATGTGTTAATTTTTATTTCCCTAAAGCTTTGTGACCTAGCACGGACTGTATGACTTTCACAGCAGTGAAAGTATGAATGTTGTCTATTAAAATTTATTAATGAAGATATTTTTTGTTCCTTTTACTAATTTAAATGTAATATAGACTACTAAAATATATGTGTTTGTATCCCTTGAAATAATTCATGTTTTCTGTGGCTGTTAGTTTTGTCATTAAAAAAAAATTGATACAGATTTGAAAGGTGTGTCAGGTATCATTTAATTTACCAGTGGTGAGAAATTAAAATGAATGATATGATATGGTATTTATTATTATTATTATTTTTATTTTCCAACTAGCATCTGAACCCATTTCTTTGAAAAACTTAAAAAGACGATCACAATTTTTTGAACAAGGTAAACCACAAAGCTAATAGTATGTTCCCTTTCATGGACTTGTTTTCATTCTCCATTCTTCTGATGGTCTGTGGTTCTGGGAACTGAGCCTCTTCAGTTTAGCTGTCATTATGACCCAGCAACATAACCCATTTCCATTCTTTCCCTAGGCTCATCAGGCTTTTCTTACAGTTCATGGGTCTACCTCTGTGGTAATGGGTCTTTGTGTGTCCTTTGTATAGCTATAAAGGTTTTTTCTCTTTTAACTGATTAAAAAATAAATAAAAACAAAAAACTGAGATGCTGTTAAACACACATGTCTTTCCACTGGGTGGTAACAGTAAGAAATGAGGAGTTTCATTTAAATCTTACTACTTTCTACAAATTGCATAATGTTACACTACACCAACATACAATTGACCAATCTTTAAAAACTGACCTGTTTTTGGTTGTGAAAATGCTCTGAATAAAGAGTAGAATTATTTGTTGCTATGGGATGGTGGCTTTGGAATGTCAATGTGACTTCAAAGTAATAAATTAATTTGAGTTGCATCTGAGGACAGGTGCATTTTGGGCTTCTTGATGTTGGTGTAGGGTGGGCAGGGCTGTTTCACAAATACGTGATGCATGTGACATTTCCTCCCTTTCACGATTGTCGGTTGCTCTGTCTCATGAATGCAATTTGAGCTCTGTTTTTTGCTATGAAGAACTTAAAAGTAATGTTCAACATTCGAGATGCAACAGCTGGAGCAGATTGTGCTGTTGTTGTCTAAAATGTTATTCTTCCTTTTAAGATTACTGAAACACAAACCTGTCTTATAACATGATACTGGACTTGTGTATATTGTGTTAATCACCTACTGTTCTTCCTTTGGTGGGTGAAGGTCACTTTTTAACCAGAAATAGCTTGCATGTCTGTTTTTGTCAGTATCCTTAGTGTTTTGGTTCATCTTTTAAATTAAACTATTGTTTTCTATGGTTATTTAAGTGAAATAATATTATACTCCTACTCAAATTGGCCAAAATAAAATAATTTCTTTTCTATCTTGATTCTAATTTTGATTTTATTTTCTTCAGTAAACTATTCTGGGAAGACCATTTTTCTGTCTCAAAGCAGTTTTCTTAAAAAAATTACAGAAGGAAATACTTTAACAACTGAGGTTTCAGGAAAATTTACAAATAGCGTATACTAATATATTTTCTGAAAGTTTACATTTTTATGATTATTGTATTATGTACAGACACATACTTATGTAGGCTTCTAAGGATAAAAATAATAAGAATGTGCCCTGAAGTTCAAACATGAAACTTGACTACTTGTTTTGCAAATGATAGTAAAGTTACATGTTCTTGAATATGTTGTAGTGGCACGTTTTTTTTTTTTTTTTTTTTAATGACTTGTAGCTGTCATACTACAATTACACAGTTGCAAGTAAATAACTGAATTTGTTATATGTTATAACATTTGAGATTCTTTTTTTTCTGTTAGACCAAACTGTGAGATCTTTTATTCTTTTAGTAATAAAAGAACCCTAAAATGCTTTCAGGATGTCCATTGATTCAGCTCTGGTATCTGGAGCTAGTGTGTGCCTTTGGCACCCCTGGATAATCTTCTTGTTATTGGCTTTGAATTTGAAGAATAACAAATGAAACTAAAGGGAAAAAAGGATATATTGACTTGTTTTAAAAAAGTTTATGTCACTTAGTATACTGACATAGGGATAGTTAGGATGTAACTTTCTGAAAGGAATTATTTCATAGAAACAAAAAGACTAATATTGTATTTTTTCCCTCCTTGCCCACATGCTGCAAAGCAGGAAGCTCTGACTCTGTGGTTCCTGATGTAAGTAGTATTCATTTGTAGTTGGGAATAAGTAAGGTGAGCTGGTGGGAACAAACTCATATGCAGTAGCTTTGCTTACATTATTTTCAGTTGCATAGGGTATATCCTCCAAGTTGAGAAGAGTTACTTTGAAATATTAAGCTAGTTCTTCTCTGGTACAGTACAAAGCAGAGTGTAAGATGAATAATTGATATTTGTGAAAGTGGTTCAATAGATGACTTAATGAAACTCCATTGTTGTTCTTTGATAACTGGTTAGCTTCCAGTTCCAACCCTCAGTGCCCCCAGTCGCTGGGCATGGGATCAAGAGGAGGAGCGAAAGCGGCAGGAGAGGTGGCAGAAGGAGCAGGACCGTCTACTTCAGGTAGTGTGGGATGGCATGAGTGAATAGGAATTAGGCTTAGCTTTCATGGCTTCTTTCTGGTCCATGTCAACCAGTATAGAAAAGCAAATTTTAAAAATAAAACCAATAGTTTCATCTCTATTGTTTTGTAGGTAGCACATTTTGCGTTAATTAGATTTCCATTTTGAAGATTTCCAGAGTTATCCTTTAAAAATCATTTTTATTAGCTTTTATATGTACTTTCAGAGTACATGAGGGGTGCACTCAGGAAAGGTAAATAGTCTTTGTGAGGACTTAGTTCTCCTCAGTGATTGAGTAGGTTCGATACGGAATAATTTAGTCTTTCTCACGGCTGGAAGCTTTGAGGAATTATGTCCATGGTAAAGGGTAGATATGCATCTAATTTGGTATATGCACACTTTTCTGACATCTGCATTTAGTTCCTTAAAATTCTCTGCTACTTTAGGGACTAAAATCTGGTTGGTTAAATGAAAATAAAATCATGTATTTAAAGGTTGAGGTTAGGGAGAACCAAAATATTAATGAAAGATTCTGCTTAAAATATAAAGTTATTAAAAAAATGAAAAGTTATTAATATTGATTAATACACTGTGTTTTCTCACAGGAAAAATACCAACGTGAGCAAGAGAAACTGAGGGAAGAGTGGCAAAGGGCTAAGCAGGAGGCTGAGAGAGAGAATTCCAAGTACTTGGATGAGGTATCATTGAAACAGGCTGCTTACTTCCTTCTCTTTACCTGGTTGGTGAAACTAGCTGAGAAGTAAGGGACTCCTCATTTCCTCTGAGTTTGGCCACATGTTCACCTCTCTAGTTTTTTGAAAAAAACTGGTTTAGAGTTTGGCCTTGATGTTTCAATCTTTCTCTTAGTTTTTCTATTATATCATTAAATAATTATATTAATAGAACTTCAGTGCTTCTTCCTCCAACTTATATCTCAGTCACTTGGGAGGCCTTCTTTAGCTATTATCCTAGCTACTCAGGAGGCTGAGGCAGAAGAATTGCAAGTTTGAAGCAATTGGGCAACTTAGCAAGACCCTCCCTGTCTTAAAATAAAATGACTGGCAGTATAGTGCAGTGGTATAGTGTGTGCCTAGCATGTGTGAAGTCTTGGGTTCAATCCTTATCACCACCAAGAGGAAAAAAAATCAATGAAATTTTAGGCAACTACAGTTAATACCTAAAAATTAGTATCTATGTATGTGAAATTATTGATATACAGATTGAGATGGATTTCTCTTTTCCACTGGTCACATAGGAACTGATGGTCCTAAACTCAAACAGCATTTCTCTGACCACACGGGAACCTGCCATTGCCACTTGGGAGGCCACCTGGAGTGAAGGGTCCAAGTCTTCTGACAGGGAAGGAACTCGAGCAGGAGAGGAGGAGAGGAGACAGCAGGAAGAGGATGTTGTTCATGAGGACCAAAGACAGAAGCTGCAGGAACAATTCATTCTTGAGAGAGAGGGGAAACTGAAGGAGCAACAAGCTCAGGAAGAACAGGAGAAGAAACAGCGGGAGGCTGAGGCTGAGGCGCAGAAGCACCGTGCAGAAGAGCAGAAGCGCCAGGCAGAGATAGAGAGGGAAACTTCTGTCAAAATATACCAGTACAGGAGGTCTGTCCCCACCACTGAGTGTTGCACAGGAGTTTAAATAGGATTGGCTTCACTGTGTGCATTACACTTCAAAGCACCTTGTTGGTCTTCTGCTGCTACCATCTTTTCTCTGCACAAGTGAATGCAAGAATCCCAACAGAGCCTTTAGATCACAAATCTAATCATGTCACCATAATTCCCTGCTCAACTCTCCAGATGGTTTCCTGTCCCCTTAGAACACTGTACAGTCCTCAGCATGGTACAGAAGTCTTATCCAAGCCATGTCTTGGTCCCTTTGTCTACCACTTAATGCCCACCACTCTTGCCCACATTTGTCTGCTGCAGCCATACTGGCCTCCATGTCCAACGTACTCTGCATCTGGACTTTTATATTTTCTGTTTCTCTGCCTGAAAATGTCTTTCCTCACCTATTTGTGTGGCTTACTCATTTTATTCAAATCTCTGCTCAAATGTCACCTTCTTAGATTTTCCAGAATACCTCATTTAAAACATATGACTCTTTCTTTCTTGTCTATGTGCCCTTATCCTGCTTTCTATTATGATGTTGTCTCTCTGTTGGTCTGCCTGCCCCAGTAAAGTATAAGTGCAAAGAGGCCAACAAATTTGTTTTGTTTACTTCTGTAGCCTAGCCCTAGAGCAGTACTGGGGCATGGTGGGCACCCAGTACTTACTTGTGGAATGAGTGATGTATGAGTAACCAATGTCTGTTGGCAGCAGAAGGAAAGCAAAGCTCAAAGTGATTGGTTGAAATACTTTATCTTTGGTTATTAACCCATAGACCATTTACATAAAGAGGCTAGAATAACATTATTTTGGAATCCTTGTCTTAAAGTTTTATATTTTGATTGTAAGTTTTTATTTTTTGGTCAATCTTTTAGGCCAGTTGATTCTTATGATATACCAAACAAAGAGGAAGAATCTTCAGGTTTTCTTCCTAGTGACAGGTGGGTAAAACATTTTATTTGTAGTAATTGGTTTCACCTAAATGGCCCCAGTTCTGCATAGAAACTGTTTTGTAAAACTACTTTGCCCTTTGTCTTTTGTGGAATACAAATAGAACTTGCTGGTTAATCTCTGTTATCAGTTAGCTTTTGATGTGTAACAACTTCCCCTAAACTTAGCGACTTATGATTTTGTGGGTCATCTTTCTGGATTGAGCTAATCAGGCAGTTCTTTTAGTTGACTGGACACCCTCATGTATCTGCTACCAGTTGGCTGGCAGCTGGGGCAATAAGAGCAACTGGGGCATGTGTCTTTCAACATCCAATAAGTCAGTGGGGTCTTAAGTACATGGCATTGGGCAGAAAAGAGAGGCTTAAAGAGAGAGGAAGCCTACAAGGCTTAGGTCTATGCTATTGTCTATAAAGTTGCAAGGCCAGCTCCATTTCATAGAGGGGAGGAGTCACATTTGCAAAGAGAAATGGACATGGGAAGAATTGTAGAATTGTGTCCTTTTACTTTCCTTTTTTTTTTGGTAATATACCATAGCTTTAAAAAAAATTATAAGTAATGGCTTCAGATTACCTAAAAATAGGTTGTATAAGGGCATATACAGTGAAAATTGTGATCTTTCTTTTAGTCTGTTTGGAACCAGTTGCTCAGTTTTGAGGAATGAAGATAAAATTTCAGATAAGTTTCTGAAAATGTGTTTTAAAACTTCCTAAAGCATTAAGTTTTAATGTTTAATGTAATTTTTATTTTTATTTATTTATTTATTTTTTAATGGAATTTTTAAGGTGCTTTGCAGTTATGAAATCATTAAGGACTTCTAAACAGAATTGGTCAAATATCTAATGTAGGACCAATAGCTTATTATTGAAGAGATGAAATTCCTCCTTGGGGAAATTTGATTTTATTTTTAGATATAAGGGAAACTTATAGGCAGTCTGAATGACTGAAAAGGACTCAGAGTATAAAGGAAAAAGGAAAGGAATGACTAGGTAGGAATGGGCCAACAATAACTATAAAAAATTATCTAGTGATAAAAGACCTTATTTATAATGAATCTGAGTGTAAGTCATTAAAATGTTGATCTATCTTTTAGAACTATGTATATTTAAAAAGCTTTATTTATATAGTTTGTTACCTTGGGGAAAATAATTACAATGAAGTGAAAAAACTTAATTCCAGAAAATATGAAATCCTCTAGACATTGCTGATAAAGCCCTAGAGATATCAAGAAGTGTGGCTCTATACCTGGTAATAACTGGTTTTTCCTTTGTAAATAAGTAAAGTTTTTCCAAGAATGTGTGTGTCTATCAGTTGTGGTACATTATTATGTATTATAGATTATTGCACTGCGTACATAAGTATGTTGTATTCATATGAATAACACTACATGTTATTGTAAAATACTCTATATTATTTTGTGTTATGATTACTATTATTTTTGAAGCTCAGTGTGCTTAGTAGAGTGAGAATAAAATTAGCATTTGTTGATTTCTAGAACTAAAGTTAAAAATTTTCAGAAGCTGCTATGCAGGTTGGGCATGATGGCACACGCCTGTAATCCCAGCAGTTCAGGAGGATCACAAGTTCATAGCCAGCCTCAGCAAATTAGAGAGGTCCTAAGCAATTTATCAAGACCCTGTCTCAAAATAAAATATTAAAAGGGGATGGGGATGTGGCTCAGTGGTTAAGTGCCCCTGGATTCAATCCCTGGTAACCCCCCCCCCCAAAAAAAAAGAAGAAGAAGTAGTAGTTGCTATGCAGTAAGTTTCAGTACCTGTTTGGAGTGCTAGGGTAGTGTTGGGTGAATTGCTGTTCTAGGGTAATCAGTGGTCTAATGCCTCAGAAGTTGAAATCATGATGTTGGGGCAATGTGGAGTGAGCAAGATAGTCTGACTTTGGGTGACCTGATGGCAGATGCTTGGTAAGCCCAGTAAAATTAAGGTCTGGAAGAGTGAATGTTGACAAAATCTGATCAGTAATTATATTCTTCATTTTTGTATTAGAGAAGTATTATCACTTATTCACCTCTTCTTATCATTTCATTTTTCTGTTTTCTGCTAGTACACACAATATAAAAAATTCCTTGGTTTAAAATAAATATAGCTCTCAATAGGAAATAAATCAGCTTCTTTAAAAAACAGTCTTTTTGGTGTTCTTTATAAATATGAAAAAGATGTTCTTATTGAAACACATTTAATATGTTCTTTATTTTTAGGAATAAATCCAGATCTACTACTGAATTGAATGATTACTACACAAATAAAAATGGTAAATGAGATATTTTTTTCAAACTTCTTCAGCTTGATTGTTTGTGCTATCACATGCAATAATCAGTATTTTTAAGGGCAAGATATTTCAGAATTCATTAAGATTACATGATTTAAAAACTATTTTCAGTGTCTGCATATAATAATAAAACAACAACCCTGTGTTTATTGTGGCTTTATTTATAGTAGAAAACTACTTGGAGATTAAAATGGTTTTTAAATAGCTATTTAAATATGTGAGATTTTGGTAAAATGATGCTGATGCAATTTTATTTAGTAAATTTAATTGCAGCTAAAGAAATGGCACAGAAAAGATTTGCAGAATAGATGAAAAAGTTGTATACAAATTTGAAGTTGTGTATTGAAATGCTAAAATATGAAAAAAAATTCCAAAATGATAATGATTTCATTGACTCCACAAAAATAATTTGGAATCTGATCTTATTAGTATAAAGTTTTTTGTTGTTGTTGTTGAGGTGTGGGGCCCCATCCTAGTTCCGGCATATTGCTGACATGTGGGAGCATGCAAGGCTCTCATTGCCAGCTTTTTCTTTTATCAAAAAGAGAGGGGAAAAAAAAGATCTGTTTTTTTATGTGTTTTCTTTTAAGCATTGATAAGGAATTTTAAAAACTTTTAGATTCTCCATGAGCAAAACAACAATATCTAACAAGTCAGAATGTTCTGGTGGCATCTAATTTGTAGCCCCTGGTAAGAGCTTGTAGAATTTATAATTTCCATTAGGGGCTCTGTCATCATATTTTCCCTTGAATTTGTAGGACCTTCTAATATCTGGTCCTAGCATACTTTTCCAGTCTTTTCTGCTCTTTTCCCCTTTAGGAACCCTTAAACATAACCAGATTGTCTTCTCCTAATTCTGACTTTGTCAGATACTTTTTGATATGGTTCCTCTGGTCTTGGATCTTTTCCTATTTGGATTTCCCATTTCTTCTCCCTGAACTTGCCCCTAGCCACCATTAAAGTTATAGTTTAATCTTCTCTGAAATATTTTTTTTAAAAAGTTTTAATTACTTATACATGACAGTAGAATGCACTTTGACACATCATACGTAAATGGAGTATAATTTCTCATTCTTCTGGTTGTACATGATGTAGAATTACACTGGTCATATAGTAATATATGTAATAGGATAATGTCAGATTCATTCTACTAACCTTTCTACCTCCATACCCCTCCCTCCCTTCACTCCCTTCAACCTAAGTAATAGCTGTATGCTTTCCTGAGTGAAACTCATGATCTGTTAGTAACAGCAGATCTGACTCAGAAATAATATTGTTTGTGATTCTGGTCCGTGTCTCATCCTGTGTGTGTGTGTGTGTGTGTGTGTGTGTTCTCTTTATGAAGTTCAAGTTCCTGAGTGGCATGCAGTGGAAATTATTAACTGTTTAGTGGAATAACTTGATTATACCAGTAAGGTTCTTTTAAAATGGAAAATGTTTTCTTTAAAATTCAACCAAAGTGATAAGCTATGTTAAACTTAGGAGTATATAAGGGTGGTTCTGCTCATTGCTTACTGGAAGATGAAACTAAGACATAGATAAACTATGAATTTTGAAAGAATGACAATAGCAGTAAATATAGAAAAATAAAATAAATCCTTGGATAAAATTTTCTAATTGATATTAAGGCACAGATGATACTTCAGTGGATGATACTTTAATCTTAATGTTTTACCCAAATCGTAAATCAGTCAGCAAACCCAAGAGATAAAGCCCTTAGGATAAAACCTGACTTAATGATCATTAATAAATGTGATAATCCAAATTATACTTCTGTAAGTTCCTTAGAACAGAAAGAAGCATAACATTTATTTGGATGGTAACTGTCATTTGGATGCCTGGGCTGTTTTTCCATTTCAGAGACTGAATATGTTCTTAGCCCTGCAGTTTGGTGACATGAATACTCAGGTTGGGTCAGCTAGAAATTCGCGCCTCTGTGGGCTTTCTTTTCCCAAGGGAGTGCAATTTTTTTTTTTTTTTAAAAGAAAACTTCATGTTCTTACACAGAGTTGTTATAGCCAGTGATCCAGTGATCCCATTCTGGCTCTTCCCTTCTACAGGCAGCCCCTGGGTGTCCCTAGTATGTTCTGTGTTGTGCCTGTGGGTAGGGAACTGGCATCTTCAGAAACAGGAGACAGGTGCTTTCTGTGTCATTGCAGCCACCTCATTGGAAGTTGATAATATGTAAGCATATGTCAGATGTTAAGCTGGACTGTCTTTGGAGATTTATCCACTGTCCTTTCTTATGTACTAACCCTGAAGCTTTTTGTGTATTTTTAATTTAGGAAGCAACAAATACTTGGACCAAATTGGGGGTACAGGCTTTTCACAGAGAAGCTCCAAGAAAGATTCAACCCCCTCAGAAGCAGAGCTGGAGAGACAGCAGATTCTCCAGGAAATGAGAAAGAGAACATCCCTTCACCATGACAATAGCTGGATCCGACAGCGTAGTTCCAGCATAAATAAAGAGCCCATCTGTCTGCCTGGGGTCATGAGAAGGTGGGAGAAGGTTTGGGAATCGCTGCTTCTTTGTTGTGAGGCAAATGCTTAATTTCTAGATGTGCTGGTGATTTGTTTGGACAGAAGAGATATCATAATTTCTTCTACTTACCTGAGGTCTGGCAAGAGGAAGACAAGTAGGAAAAAAAACATTGGGCTCTATCCTATGTCGACCATGAGCCAGATGCTTTGCCTACGACATCTCATTTAATCTGGAGAAACTGGTTTGAAGTAGGGTAGTAATTCTGTGACTCAAGCAGGTAATATAGTTGGACAAGACGACATGGTTAATAGGTTACAAATCTGGTTCTAGAACTCTGAAGTGGGATTGGGATAATTAAATAAGCACTTAGTGCTTTCTGGGCTGCCAAACTTTAAAAAAGGTATTGAAACTTCTGTTTATAATGAGATGATGATTAGATTGGAATTATCAAAATGGGATTTGCAAAGTGTGAAAAATCTAAGTTTTCTAACTTTAAAAAGTTAAGTATACAGAATAAATTAGAGATGAAAATATGAATATTTTAAAAGATAAATCTTGGTAAACAAATCCTGCAGCTACTTTGAGTCAGTATTTCCTTATTTGACAAACTGGGCAAAGTTATTTTTAACACCCTAGAGACAAAAAGCTCATTTTCTCAGCATACAAATATCTTCTTAAAAATCAGTAAATGAACCTTAATGACTATAAGAAAATAGGTGATTTGAGCAGGCGGTTTATAAGAAAAAGAAACAAAAAGCCAATCAATGTATGAAGATCAACACTATTCCCAAAATAACAATGATATGTCTCTTTTACTTAGGAGATTTGGAAAGAATTATATGATTGCTTAAACTTAGTAATTGTATAAGCAAATAGGAATTCTTCCCAGTTGGGTGGATAGCTTTTCAGTGTGTATTAAGCAAAGTTTTATACATCTGAATTCAGTGAACAATTAAGTTTCTAACATTCTTATCTTCTGGATGTATTTGGATAAGTCTGCACAAATATATCCAAAATGATGAATACTTACACATTATTAATAATGACTGAAAAAAATCACCATGTCCTCTGTGCAAAGGGTACTTAATAGTTGTTCAATAGGTAGTGGTATACCAGAAAGATAAAATACTATATAACCATTAAAGGAAGAGAAAGACATTGCTGCATAATATAGCACTTCAAAACCTAGTGGGTTAAAATAACAACTCGTTCTTTCTCTCAGATCTGAGGGTTGCCTGGGAAATTCTTTGCATGCAGTTGACTGGGGCACTTGAGCAACTGTTGTCATTTAGAGTAGGAGCTGGTAATTTAAAAAAAAGTAGAATAACATTTTAAAAAGAAAAAATAAAGAACTAGACAGTAAATAAGTTTTGTTGGCTGCAGAGGTCTCTGTCACCTATTCTTTGTTTTCTTAATGACTCTTTGAAAAATGAGCTATATATATCTTGGCAATGGGCTGTAATTTGTTGCCCCTCATGCAGAGGGCCCTCTGAAGAGCTTAAGCCATATCTAGTGGTTAGAAATGTCTGTTCTTACCTGTGCTGCTCCACATAGCTGCCTGGGCTTCCTCATGGCATGGCACCTGGATTCAAACAGGTAGACTGGCAGAAGGACATATCCTAATATGTAAGTCTTCTTCCATTCCATGTGCATCATGGCTGCTGATGCCTGTTGGCCACAGATCAAGCCTAAAGTCATTGGCAGGGACTACACAATAGAGTGGATTCCAGAAGGTATGGTTCCTTGGGAACCAGCAAGGTACCATCTGCCACATAAATAGGCATGAAGTTATATGTTAAGTGGTAAATGAGTTATTGAAGACTGTGTTATAGCATTATCCCACTTAAGAATGTTAACAGGCAAATACCTTGCATGTGTATATAAACACATTTGTACTTCTGAAAATTTGATTGTATATGTAAATATTTGCACATGTGAGAAACGTGTGAAGGACCTATAGTTAGCACAGGTTAGGTTAGGGCAAGTGTGGTAAGTGAGGGAAGGGACCCTTGAAATCCCTCATATACTGTTCTGTGTTGCGTGAGTTTTTCCATGTGATATATTACTCTTACAATGTTAAAGTTAAATGCATATTTTAAGCTTGACATATGAGAATATTTAAGAGTAATAGCAACACAATTGATAAGTGAGGAAAAAACTTATAATTTGCAATTAATATTGGTTGATCAGTATTAATGTAAGTATACAACTTTAAAAGAGATTTTTCAGAAGGTGTCTTTAAGTCAGTTTGTGAGCTAAATGTGTTTTCAATTTAAGGGATTGGTTGGCAAATGCTTCTGGTAATGTGGACATTAAGCAGTTGGAATTTAGGGTTTTGGATGGTGAATTATTGAGCATTTCATGGAAGGCTAGTCTGTGTTATTTTGAAATCAGGGTGACTGGGTTGAAAGCTGATTACCACCCTTGACTGGCTCTAACTGTGGTCTGCTTAACTTTGATGAGATTTAAAAAATCTTTTATAGAATTGTGGAGATTAAGTTTAATACTGTTGTGAAAACATCTAGCCTAATACTTATCATATTTAAGTGCTTAAATATAGTTTTGGATTGAATTTGAAAGACTGTAAAATTTATATGTCTAAACTATCAAAGATAATGGTTGTCTGTCTTACTGTTAGCTTTTATCTTAAAAAATACTTTTCTTTCCACTTTGGTTGTACTTATTTTATCTAAGCACCAAGTGAATGAAGTAAAAGTGAAGGTTGATTGAAATGTGAAACCTCATGCTAGCTCTGATGATGAGCAATTTACCTGTTCAAGGTAATTTTCTATGTAAGTGGATGTAAATTAATACCTGCTTTAGAAGTACACAGAATGGACCTTTTAATGGTTGTAATGATGTGTTGAATAGGTTTCTAGTTGGATGCCTAATGCTGTTTTGATGAGTCCTTTACGTGTTTCAGAGGTGAGTCTCTAGATAACCTGGACTCCTCCCGATCTGCTTCTTGGCGACAGTCCCCTTGGCTTGGTCAGCCTGCAGGCGTCTATGCTTCTTCCTCTGTTCAAGACTTCAGTCGCCCACCACCTCAGCTGTTGTCCACATCCAACCGTGCCTACATGCGGAACCCATCCTCCAGTGTGCTGCCTCCTTCCGCTGGCCCTGGGAAGGCCACCACGGGCGGAGTCACCAACCAGACCCCTGCCCCTCGCAGCCATTCCCCTTCCACTCCACAGCCACAGCCACAGCCAGGCACTCAGCCCCGCAGCAGGTGAGGCCCTTTGTTTTTCTCCTCTCCTTCTCTTAGTCTCAAGGTTTTTTAAATCAAAATTTCCCCTAAATCTTGTTCAAGCTTTCAGTGAAAAAAGAACAGCACATTTGAATATGTCACAGTCAGATTGAGAAGACTTTCTTAATATCTTTTCATGCTACCCTAATAGTATTTATAGATGTCTCAGAAGTCAGTGGAGACCTTGAAGATGTCTACCAGTTGCCAGGGTTTTCTTGGCCTGAGCGTGTGGTCAGTGTCTTGGTGTAAGACATATCTGAATAGTCCTCCATGTGGAATCATAAAAACATATACTAGATCACAGATGCTTTTCCTGTTTATGGGTAAAAGCAGTATTGTAAAATGTTTGGCTGTTTTAATGACACTGCAATACAAACTCATTTTATAGGAACTAAGTATAAGAGAAGACATTATAATCAAGTGTTCATAGTCTGGTGAGCTTTAACAACCTGGGTTTAAAAAATATTAAGTAGGTTAGGTCTTTGGTTTTGGGGTTTTTGATTGCCAGAATCCTTGCTTAGATGTTACCTGGTTTGCCATCATTTTGTTCAGGCTACATCAACTGAGTTCCATAGTTCACATGGGGTGGGAAGTGTGTGAGAGTTTAATAGCATCACTAGCCACGTGCCTTGTGCTGTGGAGTGAAGCTCAAATGTCAGAGTGGGTTTCTTTTGTGTTTCGTGTAAGTACATGCTTCTGTTGTCACCCCAAGGGAATTCTGGCACATGCTACATTTTTTTTTTTTTTTTACAAATGGAACAATTTTTAAAGGTAGAATATACATTGATACTAAGATTTTTTTAACTATCAAAGAAGAGACTTTTATAAGGAATCTTTTTATAATCCAATATAATGTTGCCTATGCCAAAATCTACAAAATGTATCTTAAAGAGTTTGAAGTAAAAGAAAAGGGGTAAGGATTTATGATCAGTTTGTCAGCAGAGGCGAAGTTTGTGCAGAGGAGAGGATCCATTTATTTACTGGGATCCCCACTTACCACATGCTAGAAGAACAGAGGTTAGAGGGATGATCATTGAGCTTCTCTTCCCTGAGAAGATCTCTATGGCCTTCAACATTGGACACTCAGCAGCTATGCACTGCTCAGCACCACTGAAGTTCTGTGCTAATCCCTAGGGATTAGAGGTAAGGAGGAAGTGGCTGTCACTTCAGCACTGCAAGAGATGAGACCTACATCCAGAAGTAAAGTAGAAACTCCTTCTATATGGAAATGGTAGCTGCCTGGCGGTATTTATTTTATTCTCTGCTGAGCCAGTTGTTTAGGCCAGAGACACAGGCAGGAAAGCACTGACACTTTCTTTAATTAGAAAATTGGGCAAATAAGAAAGAAAAGTAGAACTCCCAATGCCTGTTGAGGGAAGTTGGGGCTGCTCTTCAGTCTGAGGTATGGAGTGACATGATTAGAGTTGCATGCTTTGGCAGGTTTAACTGGCATGAAAATGTAATGGATTAGAGAAGGGGAGGTATTGCTAAGTAGGTCTATGATCTAAGGAGAATGGTGTCATACAGTGCCGAGTGGACTAATTACACTGGAACTGTTCATGTAGGTGAGTATTTGTCCGGGGTCCCAGAGCTGCCATGCAGATCATTCACAGTTACAGTATAATTGAGGCATGCTGTGCTTGTCTGGTAAAATTTTTCTCCCACAGATACAAACAGCCTTCCTTAAGTTGCTATTATGGATGCGAATACCAGAGTGTGATTTTAAATATGAATCTCATGTGTGCAGGTGAACGCTTCCATTCCGTTCTTGTTCTGTGTCTAGGTCAGTCAGTGGGAAGCGAGTGTGCTCCTACTGTAATAACATTCTGGGCAAAGGAGCTGCCATGATCATCGAGTCCCTGGGTCTTTGTTATCATTTACATTGTTTTAAGGTGAGACTGAGATAAATAGCCTGCAGGCCTGCAAAGCTTTGCTTGGAGAGCGCATGGCTTCTTTGAGCCGCTGGGTGTGGATGTGCCACTAACAAGCTAGGTGCTATATTTGTCCGTCTGTGCTTTGTTGGAATCAAAGATTGCTTGCTATTACTTAGTTCTCAAATTTTGAATCTAGTCATAAGTGAATCTGGAAACACTATGCATTTCCTATCTCTAATCTCTGAGAATTCTATAAATAAAATTTACAGTGCATAAATGTTTAACATGCTATCATAGGCATACTTAAAATATAATTTACCAATGTTATTGAAGACATAGGGACCTGAAATTATGACAGGGTCTAAAAGCTTACCTTGGAATAGGGAGAATACAAAGGAAAACCATTGCAAATATTTAAAAAATTGCACAGCCTGCTTATACCTGACAGGTTTTTGTACACAAAAAGTGCTAAGGCTGTGACTGTTTAGCATTGTCTGTCTCTAGAGACAGACAATCTATTTGATTCTTAGACTTACTTTGGGCCAGAAGAAAGGCCCCCTGTTGATCCTGGATTCCTACAGACCATTGTTGGTTGAAATGTGTCCATAGCTGGCTTGCACTGTTCCTAGGCAGAACAGAATGACTCAAAATAATTAGTGTTTGAGCCTTGAAGGGAGGAGCCTGTGGAAACATTTGCCAAGCTAGTGTGGCAGGAATACTGGAGGTGGCTTCCTCCAGAATGGAGTGCCAAAACCCGAACTCCATTCACTTCAGCCAGTTCTTTTATGTGGTGATGTACCCTCCATTCCCCAGGGGGCTATGAAGACTAAATCTCCTTAAGCCAATTAGCAGATTATTTCTACTTTATTTGGGGCTCTATTTAAAATGGTCATCTTGGCTCTTAAAATTGACTTTATGAATTTTTTAATGTCCTATCTGGAAGAATTGATTTTAATCTACTAATCATTTCTTGCCCCCCCCCCACTTTGCTTTTTCTTTGTTTGAAATGTATTCAAGAGCTTAGAAGCTGCATTTTGCTTCTTTTTTTTTTCTTTACTTTTTTTTTCTGGGTGCGCCCCAAGCTTCCTTGAGCTAATTGTACATGGGTTGTTTTTTCTTTTTCCTTTCTCTCTCTCTCTCTCTCTCTCTCTTTTTTGGCTCCCAGTGTGTGTCCTGTGAGTGTGACCTCGGAGGTTCTTCCTCAGGAGCCGAAGTCAGAATCAGAAACCACCAACTGTACTGCAACGACTGCTATCTCAGATTCAAATGTAAGAGAGCAAATCAGAGAGAAAATTTCTTGTCTTTTAAGGAGACCGCGGGTTCCCATGCATTTCCCTGAAACTGTAGCCATGTCCCCTTCAGCTTCACTGCCATAGGAATCTAGATTTTAGGGATCTTAGTCTATCCCCTTCGAAGAGGGTGTGTAGTATATGGTTCACTGCTCGGGGTCCAGCCACAAGGGTGGGTTGTAGGGTAGTGGAACTGGAGAGGAACTTGTACCCAAAAGTCCAGACCCTGCATCTCTTGTTATCTGCATAGGGTCTGAATAACTCAAGGGGACAGTTAAACCAAAACAGACAAAGTGACTGAGGGTTGATCTCTCCCCAATGGCTTGTTTTTATTGTTTAACAATGAGCTTTGTTATGTGGTTTAGAATATGACCAAATTTGCAAGTGATCATTTAGAGTACTGGAGAATATCAGCTTATTCTCCATGTTACTGTCTAATCAGATATCATTACACATAGCATTTTAAAAGAGCCTTAATTCTTATCTGACTATATAGTGTTTAAGTGTCATTTTTTGCAAGATGCATTTTCCAAAACTTCAGATGCTAGTTGTGTCTAAGCATTTGTGTGTTATAAAATATAGGGTAGCATATTTGGGTTGTGTGTTGTTTATAGCTACAGCAAGACAAACATTAGTGCTGTGTATATTTTGAACCTTGATGCTGGTAACATGTTTCTTCCTTACTGTGAAGTGGTGTCACAAGTGGTATCAGCAAAACCATTTGCTTTTGAACTCTGAGGTATTTATATGACCCCTTATGTGAAGAGTGCTTTGGAAATAGTTTAAGCCCTATCAACTCTCTCTTATCTGTTGGTGGCTTCTGAGCCTTCTTTCCCCAGCTGTTCAGTCAGTCCTCCCTGGACACTGACGCTGAGGTTGGAGAGTGGCAAGGCTGGGCATGGCTGGGGAGTGTGTGTATGTGTGTGCCCTTTTCTTTCTTTGCTCCAAAGCCAAATATAATTGATTTTTAGAATCATTATTATAAAATTGCCCATGCCTTTTTTTTTCTCCTTCAATGCAAATAATAGAGAGTTGAGTGTAATTTCTTTCTATGTCAGCAGTTCATTTTTATTCCATTTTTACAACTAAGGAATTCTGGAGCCCAGAGGCTGCGATTTGCCCAGCTTTATCCTAAAACTGAGTGACAGGTTACTCTCTCTACCTCACTGGGCCACTGTTTGAGTGATGACTGCTATGTAGCCCATGAAGCGATATTCACTCGTTTCTGAACCTAAGCACTTTTCTCTCTTCTCTCCTTACCTGATCAGCTGGACGGCCAACTGCCATGTGATGTAAGTCTCCATATGAAAGCACTGTTGCAGATAGAAGAAGAGGTGCTTGCTGCTGATGTAGATCTATAAATATGTGTCTGATGTCTTTTTTGCTCTTTTTTAAAAAAGAATAACTCTTCTCCTTCTTCTTTTTGCTTTATTAGATTATGTAGGACCATTATAGTCTTGGTAGACCCTATATTTTTGTTTGTTTATTTATAAGAAGGTAATTTTGTGTGGAAAAAGTGCAGTATTTACTTTTTTGAAGACAGCATCATAAAAGCACAAGGGAAAAAATAAGAACTTAAAAATATTTTTGAGGCTGATGATGATCAAGTTTTGACTATTTAGTGGTGTTTTGAAGAGGGTATTTTATTGTTTTTTTTAAAAAGTTCTTAAAACATTATTTGAAATAGTTAATATAAATATATAATTGTACTTGCTCTGTTTATTGTATACTAAGTTAATGTGGAAACACATGAAAATTTTCATTTAAATCCATCCCTAAATTTGCTTTCTGTATCCTTTTTTTCCACCTATGTAATATGATTGAAAGAAATTTTTAGCTTATGTAACATTTTATTTTGCTTGATGAGGAGAGCTCAGTTTTCTTCACCAGAACGGTTGCTAAGCAATTCAGTAGAAAGCTGCTTATTTTCACTAATGAAAAATAACCATGGTTTGTATCCTAAAAGTTTTCTTCAGAACCTAATGAGCCTTTCTGTTCAGCTGCATTTGTAAATAAACTTGCTGATGCATTTAAGGAGTGGTCCTCTTTCTTGTGTGTATGTGTCTCCCTTTCAGTCCTTTAGATCATATTTTGGTATATGGTCTTTCTTGACACTTTTATTTAGCAGCTTTACAAAGATATAATGCACATATAATAATCTACACATATTTTAAGTGTACAATTTGACAAATTTTGATAGTGCGTAAGCCTGTGAAACTATCACCCATAGTCTCAATGGTTTTACTGAAACATTTTAATGAGGAATGTTTTAGTCAGCTTTTTCATCACTGTGACCAAAAAACCTTACAAGGACAACTAGAGCAGGAATTTTTATTTTGGTTCAGTTTCTGAAGTTTAGACCGTGGTCAGCCAACTCCATAGCTCTGGGTCTGAGGTGATACAGAGCTTCATGGCAGAAGGGTGTGGTGGAATAAAGCAGCTCAGGATACAACAACCAGGAAGCAGAGAGCTCTGCTCATCAGGGACAAAGTATAAACCCCAAAGGCACACCTCCAGTGACTTATCTCCTCTAACCACACTCTACCTGCCTACAGTTGCCACTCAATTAGTCCACATCAGTGGATTAATCCACTGATTACATTGCAACTCTCATAATCATTTCACCTCTGAACATTCTTGCATTGTTTTAAACATGAACTTTTGGGGCACACCTCATATCTAAACCATGTCAAGGAACTTGATTTTTTGATAAAAGTTATATTTTTTAATACAGTAAATTTTTCTGGTAAGAGGTACTACGTAGGTGATGAATTATTGGTTCATTTCAATAAAATCTTCACTTTTGTTGCCCCAGTAAATTTAGAAAATCTGCAGAGCAAAAAATATACTCTGTTTTAGTAATTTGGAGTTGGAATGCAAGAATATAAAACTTAAGCAAAAATATAAACAACTTGCTTGAATTCTTTAGAGTAATATAAGCAGAGTGGGTAATTCCAGGAAATGAGAACTGTGTTGGAATGTGCTTAAAATATGTAATTAAATATGTAATTAAGAAGTGGTAATGGGGGAGAAAATTAAAAATTTTGTTTCAGATTTTATTTTGTTAAGCACTTATTTGTTATTTCTGATTACTGAAGTAGTTATATTTATTGAAGAAAATTTGCCAAATGGTCTACAGTATAAAGAATTTATACTCTCAGTCCCAAACTCCAAAGAAAAGAGCAGTATTTAAAGTCAGTCTGCATATAGATACTTATAATGCCTTCTTAGTTAAACTGGATTGTGAACAATTTTCATGTTCTTAAAATCATTTCTGTTTTAGTTGTTCTTTTTGGTGCTGAGGATTGAACTCAGGGCCGTGAGCATGTTAGAAAAGCACTCTACAACCAAGCTACACCCCCAGCTCTCTCTCTATTTTGAATAGTTGCAAAAGAGCTCCATTGTTTGGCTCTACTAATATGTAGTTGATAATTTCACTATTATATACATTTTAGTTCCCAATATTTAAAAAACTTTGTATATATAATTATAGTACATAATGTAAATCTATTTCTAATATAAATCCTATATGACCATAATCATATCTATTTATTATTTTCATAGACTTGTGATTATGTGATTTAAGGCTCCCCTGACTCATATTGCCAAAATGGTTTCCAGTAAAGTGTTACCAGCTCCGACCCTCATGAGCAGTGTTTGGGCTTGTCCATCTCACGACTTATTTATGAAGATGAATTTCTACTGCCTTGTGCTCTGCCTATCATATTAGCCCTCAATATGCACTAGTTAAATAACCACTGTTTCCTGTTTCAGTTTCTGCCTTTTTGCTCTTCACTGCCCCCAGTGCATGCTTTAATTCTTGCATCATGATTTTAGTGTTATTCAGTGTCTTTTCTGACCATTATTCCTTTTCATCTAAGCCTTTTTTAAAAAAAATATTTTTTAGTTGTCAATGTATTTATTTATTGACAATAAAATTATTATCAATGTCAATAATTTTAATTATTTATATGTGGTGCTGAGAATTGAACCCAGTGCCTCACACATGCTAGGCAAGTGCTTTACAACTAAGCCATAACCTCAGCCTTTTCATCTAAGCCTTTTGTGTTTTCTTTTTATTCTGGAAATAGAAAATGTAGATTTGATTTTTCTTCTCTGTTGTTGTGACTTTTCTCCTCATTTCTCACACTATCTTGGTTTACGATACAAGTTTTGTTAGTACAAATTGTTAAGTATGGTTTCTGAGATTTTATTTTAGGATACTGGTTCTTCAATATCTTTGTATTATTAAGGCATAAACCCATTGGTATTTATTTGTCATATCATTGAAGAATAAGGGAAGATTCAATCATTCAATAAATTTTTATTCAAACTTTGTGTCAGGCATTGCTTTGGGTACTGTGACTAAATACAGCAGTGATTAAATTCTGACTGGGTTTCTATTTCTCTTTGAGGGAGATGATAAACCAATATGTGAAAATAGGATATACAGGTGGTGAAATGAATAATTGAGAACAAATAGCCAGAGTAAGAAGGATCCAGGTATGGATCGTGTGGATGGGCAGAGGACAGCCTCTTAGACAGTAGAGACAAAGGAATGAGTGGCCAAACCATGCACATCCTTGAAGGAAAAGCATCCCAGACCTGGGGCACAGCAAGTACCAAAGTCTTAAGGCTGGAGTTTAGGTGGTGTGTTCATGAAACAGCCTTGTGGTTGGAGTGGAATTAGTAAGGAGGTTTATAGATGTGGGGAGGGAAGCCCAGACAGCAAGCCATTGCAGGACCTTGACTTTTATTGTGAATAGTATCAGAAGACATTGGAAGGGTTTGAGTGAATGCCGCAGTCTGGCTGGGCACAATTCAGGAGCCACTTGTCAAAAGAAACGAACTTTATTTTTAGAACACACACCGCACCACACAGCTCTTCAGGAATCCCCTCAGAGCCCAACTGCCACCACCGGCTTCCCACAAGCCTCTCCACCTCCCCCACTCCTCCTGCTCTTGAGGCCAATTGGCTGGGTCTCGTGGGCTGAGCCAAAAAAAAGTCCCCCAATGAGTAGCTCTGTGGCCTGAAAGGGCGGGGAAACAGCCCAATGAGCATCACCGCAGAGGAGCCAATCAGTTGGCAGCTAGAAGTTTGCTGGGGCTGCTGTGAGCCAATCATCAGCTGGCAGCTGGAAGTTTGCTGGCAGCTGGAAGTTTGCTGGGGCCCCTTCCGCTGTGGCTCTCAACAGTGAAAGAGAGAAATGAACTGACTTATGCATTAAAAGGACTACAGACTACTGTGTGAACCAGAGCTTGCAAAAGGATAAAGGTAAAAGCAGGGAGACCAGTTCAAAGAATACTGGAATTGTCCAGGCAAAAGTCGATGTTTTCATCAACAGGGTAAAAACAGGGGAGATGGGGTAGAAGATTATGTGGGGTGTGTGTATGTGTGTAGAGTGTCTGTATATTGACATTAAGCTGACAGAATTTAATGATGGATTAGATATAGCATCAGAGAAAAAAGAAAAGCAAAAGTTACTCAAATGTTGGCTTTAAGGAGCCAGAAAAATGAAGTGGTCATTTTCTGAAGTGGAGGAGATTGTGGGTGGAGTACATTTTGAGTAGTGAGGCAGGAGGCCTACTAAATATCTATATGGCTGGCTATGCAAGTGTGGAGTTCAAGGGAGAAGACTAGACTTGAAATAGAAATGTAGAATCAGTGGTGAGTAAATTGAATTTTCAAGCTGAGAGTCAGGAGGACATCACCAGGATTCTGACTGTAACTAGAGTGGAGAAGATGTTCAAGGACTGAGTCCTGAGATTCTTCAGCATTATGAATCAGACTTGTAAAAATGTGTCCACTCAGCCAGGAAAAGAGCCAAGACTCTGGTGCCATGGAAGCCAAGTCAAGAGCGTAGTTCAAGAACAGATAATCCTGTTATAACAAATGTTTCTCAGAGACTCAGTAAAATGAGGAAGAAAATTGACAACCAGGAATCTCCGATGGGCTTTTTCCCTTGTCCTGCATGTATTGGTGTTGGTGGACTGCTCTTCTCAGAAAGTCCATGTGAGCCCCTTCCCATATACAATACCTAGCCCATTTTCTAGCATCTGGCAGCTTTTAACTCAAGGACCCTGCTATTTTTGCCTGTTTCCCCAGTGATTTGAACCTGAAAGAGAACATGGAAAGTCATTTCTCACCCACTTTCTATCTGTACCCGCCTTCATACTAGCAACTGGAATTGCACTTCCTGATGTGTTATATTTCATCTCAACATACATGGAGTCCTACCCTCCTCTGTGGCTTTGTGGAAGGGAAGATATTGAGGTTGGAGCTACCCTGACTGCTTCAGGATTCAGAGCCAGCCAACTGTGTGGCATTTCTGCTCTGATGTGTTCTGATACGCAAATTTCTGGTCTCTTAGCAAAGATACAGGCTGTTGTCATGCTGCTACATTTCACGCTACAAATAAGCTTTGGCCCTTAAATGATGGTTCACAATTCATGCAAGTAAGAATAGTATTAAAAAAGCTAAATTAAAAAGATAAAGTATTAATCTTTGGTTAACAACCATCTCTGGGGCAAGAAAACAACTTCTAGATTCTTCTTAGAAAACATGTATGTTGTATGATGAATACAAGGCAAACCTTACACTCATGAAGGAGAGGCACATATCCAAAAGATTCTAGAGACCTGAACTATGAGAGAAATACTTTGTTTAGGAATCCAGGAGTCAATTACACTAAGGGAGTAGAAGTGACTTCACAATTGATGACATTTGAACACATCTTTAAAGGCAGATGACAGCTTAACAGAGCATATGGGATGATTTCCACATCCCAGTGGTTCTCCCTACTCCATGTTCCCATCAAAACCTTCCATAGTTTGGCCTGTTTTGTGGAAATATGAGCAGGGGACTAGATACACTCTGTCAGATAATGTGTCTGGGAAGTGGCAGTTATCTGACCCAGTACCAAAGAGAATTAGTATCCTAGTTCAAGGTTCTACAACACAGCATCAGGCACAACAATTTATTACCTATTGTATAGGGGCTGGGGTTGTGACTCAGCTTGCCTAGCATGTGCAAG